AATTTTCATACCTGGCAATCTGTTCATTTTGAAATTTGAAGCTGCTGATGTTAAGCCAATTCCCATGTACCCATCACGTCCTTTTGAAATGATTTTAACTTCAAAATAGTACAATCCACAACTGGCAGGTATAGGACATGTTGTTCTCACAGATGCAGCATCATTGTGTGATTTTCCAACACCTTTGTAAATTGTGCGTAGTTGAAAGGAAAAAAAATTAATTTTTTTATCAATAATCCAGACGACAATGAAGAGAAAAAAACTGAAAATCATTGTTTGAGTACCTTTGTAATGGACGCGCAAATTTGAGCTGGATAGACCTATGGAATTGTTTTTCTCTGTGCTGCTCCAGCATAAAGGCAATGGTTCAGTCACATTTGGATACAACAGCTTTAATCTATCGAGTGTCTTCAGCTCACTTCCATTTTCTTCCATTTTCGAATTTTCTCTCACAAATTTCATCCAAATTTCCACACTGCGTAAGTTTTTCAGATTTTGTTTTGGTTTCAATTTGCAGTGTTATGTTTCTTTTTGATCACCCACTCCTTATCAATGGTATTTTTGATTGGTAAAACTACAAAAATTGCAAAAATTTCTTTTACTTATTAACAAAGAGACCTCGACGAACCTGAATAATCTAGTTAACAACCCCGTTGCGTTAGCAATAATTGTAAAAATACTTAAAAAGCGCTTTTCCAATCGAAGTTTTAAAAAAACGGGAACCCGGGGGTATGAATTTGTCAGTCGCTCGCAAGATTCAACAACGAAAGGAACTAAAAGAGCAAATTCGATCTATTTAATTTAAAACTTTAGTTAAATCTTTTCATTTAAGTGGAATAACATCATAAAAGAGCTGTGATTGTTCTCATAAGTTGAAAAATCTTAAAAATATTATCCAATAATGGATAAATTGTAAAATTTGTGCAAGAAAATGAAATTTGTCTGATTAAAGTAGAAAAAAAATGAAATGAATAAAATGAAAGAAGAAAAATATCCAATCTATGGGATGGGAAAGCGATAAAATTATGAGAAAATGAAAATATAGCCATTGTGTGAAGGGCTCTATGTTGATAAAAAAGAGGCAAAATATTTTCAAACAAAAGGATAAAATTTTAGTCTTCAGTTAAATCAAAACAATAGTTGAAAGTTTTTAAGAATTTAGAAAATGGGGAATCAGCAAGTGAAGGAACCAAAACCAAATCTTTCAACATTAGGAGCAGTTTCTTCGATTCGTTCGAGTCGCAAGCCGAGAGTCCCTAAAGATTCAAGGATTTTAGGATCTAACAACATTTTTACTGAACATCACGGTAAGTTTCTTTTTTCAGTTTGTAACTCTTAAGAATTCCATCTTGAAAAACAACGTCAAGCATAAAAACTGATTATATGGTTGAAGAATAAGAAATTACGTTTAATGGATGATTTGTTCAGGACTTTAAGATTTTGTCCATCATTGCTTTATAAGATGGCGCTGAATCTTTTCACTTCATTCTTAAACTCTTCTTATTATGCCTTGCGGTCTTTTCGATTTATTTCCATTGATTATCTTACCCATATACGAAAATAAAACAAAATATTAAAAACGAACACAAAATTTACGGCTCTGAATTGTGTCATAAAGTTATATAAATTTATCATCAACGCTTATCGAAATGCATAATGTGCTTACGTTGTTGGCAGCATAAGTATATTAATTGGTCTTAAAAAGAAAACAAATATCGACAACATCTTGTTTCCAATGCCTGATACTCTGATTATCTCATTCTACTCGAGATAAGAGATTCTCTTACAAACGCCCTTCATAAAACACGAACTTTCTAAAAACAAGAAAGAAATTCCAACATCTCAACCTTTACGTTGGTGAGAGGAATCGGTGGTGATTGGTGTTAAACAATTATTCATCATTTTCTTCTATGCATTGAATTTCTCTCAATCATCGGCAATGTCAGATCGCTGTCGGATTCATCTGATGTTGTAATAATAACATGTTTGAAGAAAGCACTAGCAATTAATTCCACTACCCAAATAAACCAAAAAGAAAACATACAACTTAAGTAACATGAGAATTAAACGAGAGGAAAATTAATTAATTTCTCTGTTTGGACGAAAATAAATTCAAATGACGAGAACAATTCTTGTGAAAGTTATTGTTATGACTTTGTTTGCTTTCAAGCTGTTGTCATTCGATCATACAGTTTACAATCACTGTTTCTTGTCGTCTTTTATTTAGATAATCTTTTCCATCTTATTGTAATGACATAGAAATATGTTTTATTGTTAATTCTCATCACCACTCGAAGCATAAAAATAAGTAAGTTTTCCTTTTAAACTGGTTTTCATCAAGCCTCGACTAAATACTTAGTATTGAAATATGGATTTAATGTGATTTGATCATAGTAATCTATGAAGTATTTATAATGTTAAATACTTCAGTCAATAAACTAACTTCGTAGAGACTAGTTGTGTCTTTTATTTCTCTCCCAAGAATTACCATTCCCAACACTTAGACGCAATGAGAATGCTAATAATGAAAATATTTATTAACACTTGACAGCTGTTTGTTATCTAAATGCAGTATAATTTACAGCAATCTCTCATTTTTTCTTTTCTCTTATAGTAAGAAGTCAAACCAGACAAATAATTTTGATTTTATAAATTAGATAGTTTATTGAGATTTTCTTTTCTTTTCTCATTGAAACGTTGAACGACGAAATGAAGAGAAAAAGATGTGCAATGAAGTGAAGTTTTCAAGCCACTGTAAAACTTACACCATCCGATTAGTTTACGAGGTCGCTATAAATTGTCATGCTCTTGCTTCTCGCTTATTTATTATTGTTATATTATGTGCTTGCTTGAAGACATTCCAATTCAGGATTTCGCTATATTGCAAGTTGAAAATCGTGTGAATGTGTGTGGGATTTGCTATCCAATTACGATTTTTACGTGAGATTTCAGTATTGCTTGTTATCATCCAATTTTTGCTTTTATTGTAAATTAATCAAAGTAAGATTTGCTGTGCGATGTGAAATGGTTTTGAAGTGCAAATTGTTGGGTGATAAGAAAGTAGAGAAAATCATTATTTCAGACAATTTCGTTTGAAACTTCTATAGAAGATAATAAAAAGAATTATTTCGCAATAAAATGACTCCACAAACGATTGTGGTTTGACTTTTTCATCTGTAACCAAGAGAAAGATTAAATGAAGGATCCTAGATAAAATTTAAAGGGTTTCTTTTTAATTCTATAATCATTCATAATGAATTTATGAAACATTCTCTTTATTTTAATGGTATCAGTCGACATTTAATTGGGAATAAAATGAAATTAATGAGAAACATTTTTTTTTGTTGATCGCATGTTGACTGCAAGTCGTTCAAGGTTGTTTGACGTTCAATAATTTTCAATCAGCTCCAAACCCATGCAAAAACCAATGGCCTGAATAAGTGTGACTGATCATTAAAATAAAAACATAGAACAGTAAGACAAAAATAAAACTAGAATTAATTAAAAAGTGAAGAGAAATAAAAATTAAGAAGAATTTAAAATGAAGTAAATGAGTCGATGAATCAATCAACCGTAACAAGAGAAACGTTCTTTGAGTTCAACTGGTTCATTATGCAAGAAGAAAGGAAGATGATATGGAAAGAAACAACGAACAAACGAAGTGATGGATGGAAGCGACGTTGCCAAACTTCCGTCATGTTTCCCTCGTCCGAAAACTCTTATCTCAATTCATTTTTCACTTGAAATCCTAAAAACAACATTGAAAATGAAAATAAGTAACCGTGAAGGGTCGGACAATGAGAATGCAATCTTTATGATTCATTTGTGTATCGTATCCGATAACAGATGCGTTTTTGTCCAATAGCGAAGCTTGCTGATGATTGACGTGTTCTGAAAAATGTTTCTTTTATCTTTTATTCCTGTTGTTTAATGATTATTTCTCTCATTTAAGATGAGATGAGTTGTGATTGATGTTATGCTTAATTTATGTAGGAAGAAGTAAATACAGAAACTCGTACTTCAAGCCAATTAAAATATTATTGAATATTAACTGTAAGCAATTGAGATTCAGTGAATGTAAAAGTTTTATCGGCCATTAAATTCACTTTCAATTTCAATTTTTCTTTTGCTTTTTCGTTGGACTTCTTAACGCTAAGTGACGATAATAAAAATTTCGCTACTTAATGCATAAATTGGATGGGCGCATGCAATGTTAATAAATAATTCTCTGGCAACGATGCATAAATCGTTCTCGCCGCCTCTCCTCTCGTTGATTATTCCCATGCACAAAAACTGTGGGTAATTTAAACTAATAGATGAACACAAGCATCAATAAATTGATTGTAAGATTTACTCATACATGAAAATGAAGCTTTCAGTGATTCACAATATTTATTTAAAGGAAAAATTAAAAAGTTATTAAAAGAAAGTTTAAGTCTGCCAATTATAAAGAAAACATTCAAATCAATAATGTTGGCAAGAGAAAAAGCACTTAAAAAGTTTTTCATTTTCTTTTAGATTTTCATGATTTATTGAAATATAAAAAAAAAGTATGTAAATTCAGAAGTCGATAATAACGTCGTTTGGTTTTGAAAACGGGACAAAATCCATGAATAACAGCAATTGTAATTCTTTCAACAACTAAATTATGACAGAAGAATTGCTGATAATTTGAGTTTAAGCCGCTTTACACCGCGAGGCTTGTGAACGACTAAACAACGAACGGTTAAAATTGTTTTGAAATTGCAAGAGCAATTAAAGTGTCAGTAAATGATCTTTGAAATTATTGATGTAGCTTGAAGCGACGAATGCCTTCATCGTTATGATCAAGTTTATTTAATCGACATTTTTAACTGGGAGAGAACTTTATTTAAAATAAATTTATGACACTTTCTTGATAACAGTTGACAAGAAATTACTTTTTAAATTAAACCTAATTGACATTTTATCTTAATGGTTCCCAATGTCGATTACCTCAAGCACTTCTTCTCATGAACTTGATACATATTAAACAAATATAAGAATTTCAAAAACCTCTCAGCCTCGGTTGAGTTTAAATAGCTCTGAACGTGCGACAAAAAAGCAAAGAAATAAATATGATTTGAATAATTTATTCACGTGAATTATATTTGCACTTTGCTACGGTATTTTGCTTAAATTTTTACTTCAAACTTTTACGTTTTTTATGTTTTTATTTTTTTATTAATGCAAACTTTTCACACTTTCATTTTAACCAAATTATGCAAGCATTTACTGTAATTATTTTCTTTTATCAACCACAAACATTTTCAAAGGAAGTTTCATTAAATTTTCACGTTTGAATAATTTTATTCGGTGAGGTTTGTAAAATATTTTAAGTAGGATTGCTGTTTATGAATGCGAGAATAAATATAAACACAGAAACAAGAGTCACGTTGTTTGTCAACATCAGACTTACCTTAAGTTAGATTACGATTTTATCGAATTCTCGACGGAATTTCTTTCTTCCCTGTGACTCATTCACTGGTAGACGCATAAAGTAAAACGAAGGTTTTATTGATTTTCTTACCAGCAAACGACGTGCAATTGAAGGCAGGAATTATGTACAGACAAGTTCTTTGTTCTCTGAGTACATGCAGGAATAAAATATTGTTAAAAGAGGTTCAATTTCATTTGCACAATTGCTAAACAATTTTTTCGTATTCTCAACTCAAATGCAATCCATCAGACTTTGATCTTTCGATCCCTTTTGTTGTAAATAAATATTCTTGAGTTGGGACTTCAATTGAATGATGAGTTTCGAAAGCACCTTGGAAGAGGGTGAGAAGGAATTTAACATTGATAGTTGACTTTCTAAGCAGCTTATGGATTTTTTTCTACGCCTTCCTTTTCTTGTGCTTCTTTCATAAGTGCACAATTGCGCAACGCTTCCTCCGGAAGAAATAAAATTTCCATGCGTATCATGTTCCTGCTCTCTTCGCTAAACAATCAGTTTAACAACCCGAAAAGGGTTTGTCAACATCATCCAGAATGAAATCGTCTCAATTACCTACAAAAGAATGAGAAAGAAAAAGTTTAATTTGTTTCCTATCATTAGATTCTCAGTGAGTTAAAGTTAACAACAAAACATTTTGTTCCATGGCATTTTTCTTTTCTCAAATGAATTTTACTTTTTAATTCTTCTTTATTTTTTGCTGCCGACACTTTTCTCATTTAAACGGTCAAAAGAAGAAATTTATGTAATTTAATTTCTCTCGTTATTGTGTTCGTTCTCCCCAACAGTGTAGGCAGAGAGAAGATAACCAAAATTAAGAAATAATGAAGGCTTGGGATACTAGACGATATTATAGGAGTGTTTGGAATGCTCTTCAAGATGCTTTTAGATAAAGGAATCTGATGAATCATTCAAAGTGACCTCCCTGTTGCTTTTCCATGTTTTATTTATTACTAGAAATGTATAATTTTTAATGAAACGTTCGGGAGTTGGAGCTACAATTAATATAAATTTGCTTTATGCGAAACAAATTTCTGTCATAAATATAAAGCTGGTCGAGCTTATCGGAATTCCACGATCAAAATTTCTCCCTTTACATCATTAACATCGTTCGTTCCCTTTTTTCCCTCATTGTTGAACTCCACGAAGAGGAGAAAAAGAATTAAAATCAATATTTGTGCATTTTCACGCAGAAAGGAGAAAGAAGAAAAAAATTTTGTTTTCCTTTCTCGACAACCGGCTTCTTTTGCCGAAAATATAAGTGGAAGATGAAGAAGACATTAAGAGAAGAAAAGAAACATTCCTTGGGTTGTTTGAGGAGAACACATTTGAATTGTTTACATTGAGATTCTTGATAAATCTTAAATTTGTTGTTGTTAGTCATCGAAAGTCGAGACACGAGATAATTTTCATGCGTAAATATTCAAATAAATTTTCAATTTTAATTTCGATGCGTGTCTGGAGGAAAGCAAAGCACAAAGTTTAGTTTTAACTAACAACTTCAGGCCTCTTCACGTAAATCATTTAGCTGGCAGAATGTGTTGAAAATGAGTCGAATATGTAAGCATGAATAGATTTAAGCATGGGAGAAAAGTTGAAAAGAATTGAATTAAGTAGCAGGGCTTGAAGCTCAGATTCTCTTCTCCATTAGAATGTTTCTTTCTTCTCTTAAACATCTGACTCGTGTAACCGTCTTAAATGTTTTCTTCCCATTCATAAAGAGATTCGTTCGATGACCATAAAACTTCCTAAACGATGATTTTTTTGTTCTTTAGATTTCTTGATTAGTTGCCGGTTTGTAGCCTCAGGAGAAGACAACATAAAAAATCTCCGGTTTTTATCAAAGGTGTTCCATCATTTGTGTAGGTGGATTATTCCACTTCATTTGATTGTTACTGAGAAACATTTCTTTTAAGATTATTGATGCGGTATTCCATTTGTGTAATAAACATTGTTAATATTTTTTTATACACATTTTGATTGATGAGTCTTCAGTTGCTTGTTTAAAATCAACAAATTCGTCAAAGTAATAACAACATCAACGTCAAACGACAAAGCGTTGGTTGGCTTTTAAGTAAGATTCAATTTCCACGTAGCGACTTTCCTTCACTTTACTCGTTTCCACTTCATCGCTTAATTTTTGCTTGAAGTTCAGAGAAATGTAAGCACACGTAATCTGAATTTATTACAAATCGTTGAAATGGAAGCTTCTCTCGGAGTCTTCAAATTTAAACCTCATCTTACCGATTCTCATGTGTGTTCCGTCTGGTGTTGATGCTGTTAAAGGAATGGCATTTAAACCCAAAAGAAGAAGTAAATATTTATTTCAAATAATCGATTTTATGGTAATGAAGGGTATGAGCCTCAACCTGAAGCCATTACCAACGATAGAAATGAGACATTTAAACAGAAATCTTCTCTTGACTTCATCATGTGCGGCTTGTTATGAATTTTGATCTGGTTTTTCTCTTTCCGCTTGAAGTAAAAAACTTTCTTCAATTTCTGGTTTTTATTTTTTATTAGATATTGGCTCAAAATAGTTTTTTTATTTATGTAACATTTTCCAATATCAATAAACTTGAACTTGAACAAAAAGAAGTAAAATATAAATACAAGATGTATGAGAACATTGAGAAGTCGATAAAAGCTGAGATTTATGTACACAACCGGTTTGACTGTTACGTATTTGGGATAAAAGGGATTCCTTTTTGTTCTGTCTATCCTCATGGCATGTAATAATCGTTCAGAACCGACTTTGACTTGAAATATCTACCGAACAACAACGACAAAGTGGAAAAAGGTGAAGAAGAGGGAAAGGGACGAAATGAAAGTGAGAATGCCGGCATTGGTGCCAAGTTCGTGGTCTTGATTCACTTTTTCTTATTTCCGACCACTTATCATCTTCAAATTCATTTGACTCATCGCAATGTTTAAGATTTTCGTAGTGAAAGTTGACGAGAAATTGAAAGTTTAGTTTAGTTCATTTAAAATTGCAGAATCTTCACTTATTTAGATTCAAAGCTGCTCCACTCAATCATTAAACAATTTAATTTAAAATCTTTCCTCGACTCATTCCAGAAAATATTTTTTTAATCACAATTTTGTTTTTCATCGGAAATTTCAATTTAATTCGCTGATTTTCTCGTTTTCTGCTTCGAAATTCGAACAAACAACAGTCAATCGTGTGGTTTTATGAAATTTTTGCTAACGTAAAATTAATTGAATAATTAGAATTGAAATTTGTAATTTTTCATGCTGATCAGCGGTTTTCATTTCTGAAGCGTTTCATTATAATGAAGAAGAATTCTCAATTGATTGAGTTCCCAACAGTGGTGTTAACGGAATTTTGTAAAAATCATTCACTGAATAATGCTGAAAAAGTGTCGATGATTTTATTGTGTAAGCATCCGGTCGATCGATAATTCTATGCTGAACATCCGAACAAAGATTTTGAGTTCCGTTTGACCATTCGTGCAAATATTAAACATCAAACATTCCTAGATCCTTTTCTTACCACCTTTCAAAGATGTCTAGACTCTCAACGTAACTGCGCATTATTGAAAAGATGCCAAAATGAGTTTCCGTGTCACCTTCATAAAATTTTACTCACCTTGAATGTGCTTACCACAATGTGAATTTGATCATTTTTCACAACAATATCGCACCGTCAACTGATTACAAGCCATGCAATTTTAAACTTCTGTTCATTGGAGTGTGAAGAAAACTTTTTTATCTTTGCTTGCTTTTTTTCATGTTGTCGAGATATTGATTTCGATTGACCACAAAATTATTTCCATTTCTCGTTTTCGAGAGACACAGACGACGACATTTAATCATGAAGCCATTCAATTGACTTTTATTTGATATTTCGACGAACTTTATTCATTTATTGTGCAATTATTTTTGATGACAATGTTAATGATGACGTTATGTTGTATAGGAAGAAAGTTATTGGGATAAATTCTAAATGAGATTGTTGCTTTTACGAAAGAAATCGTGTTAGCGCATTGCAAAACACGTGACGACATGTTTTTGTATGGGTTCAAGATTTCTTCCACTTTGATTCGTAAAATGCATAAAGAAAAGCAAGAGAATGAAAAAATTGATCGATCTGATTCCGGATATTTGCTGTGATGCATTCATTGAAGTGTAAAATGTGAGAGATATGACACAAACATGTGCGAACGTGCATGAAACAATAAAAATTGACCTTACAAGTTTCAACTTGAATAAAAGGAAGATTTAAGCTTGCAGCAGCAAGAAGGAAAAGAAAATCGAAAGTCTGATAAAGCAGTGGAATGTTGAAAGCAACTGTGAGTTAGTGGGCAGAAGAAATTTAAGCACTAACAATAGTTTTTATTACAAAAAGTGTTCAACCGTGAGAGTCGTGAAGTTTCTTTTACCACATAAAATAATATTTTAAGACTCGAATTGTTTCGACTTTGAATGCCTTAAGTGGAGTTTTGGTTCACGTTGTGTTAAATTTGGCAACAGCTCGTCTATAGTACAATTAAAGACTTTATAAAGATTATGTTTATGGCGATGAAATCATGGACTTCATGGTGAGAGGTATTCAGTCTCAAAGAAGCGAATTAAAGATTCTTTATTTGGTAAAATCATAGATCATTAAATAGTCTTTGATTATCCTTGAGACATTCGAAGGTTAATTTAAAATCATGCATAATTTTCATGATTACCCCGTTAAGATTTCAATCTTAAATATCGAACAAGTTTCACTCATTTCCTAAACTATTTAACAGCTTGAAAGTTTATTTTCATATCAAATGTTTCAATGATTTCTTCTTAGTTTACGATGCAAAGATTAAACAAGATCGACAGTATCCGTTCGATATTTTTAATTTGTTTTACTTTCCCACAATTCATTAATCCGACGATATTAAAGAGGAAAAAGAGCATACGGTGAATGGAAATACGAGAAAATTTGCAATATTTATTCAGATTCACTTACCGGACGAACATTTCAACTTCATCGACGACCATCACTTAATTTATTGCTGTAATTTCAGCTTCTTTTGAAATAAAAACATTTCATTACATTTACTTAATTCAGAACACACGAAACAAAGTTGCATTCAGTCTTGTTGTTTGCCTGGATATTGGCGCAAATAATATAAAGAAAAACCTTTTTTTTATTTGGAAGGAAGCAAAATAAAAGATTCGACATCTGTTTAGAACATCGCAATGGCATTTCTCAGAACCAAAAAAGAATTCTTCTCCCTAGGGATAACAAAATAATGCTGAGGATAACTTCAATGAAATTAACTCCAAAATGACCAAATCTCAATTATTTTGTAGCAACAATTGGTGTAGGGGGTGAATTAATTTGAATTAAAATATTTTGATTGGAATTTTTTACTTCATTGTATCCATCGGTAAATTAAGCCAACGCAAAGCTAAAGCTTTGATCTGACATATGCGTTCAGACTATTCATGGAAACTGTCACGATGTCTCAGCAACGACTTGTCAGAGAATTTAAAATTAAAATCTTCGAACTGCAATAAATGAATGCAATTTCTTTCGTTTGTCTCTTGACATCTTTTTTTTTACTTCTCTATGAATAAGAATGTCGAGTCAGTCATTTTAAATATGTTTTCAAAACTTCATTAATCATTCTGCTTAAGCATGGAAAAGAAATTAAAAAGAAAGCAGGAAAACTCTGGGAAAACTTCTCCCCTTATTTTTATCGATTTTTCTTTTCTTTCGTTTTAAAAAATTTTCTAACTTAGATGGCCGCCAATGTGGAGTTGAAGTAGCAAAGCTATGAACCAGTTTTTTTATGTTTTTGCATGAAGTTTTCATTGAAAAGTTGAAAACTTTGATATTATGGTTGAAAATATTTCTGCTCAGTTGAAGTTTGTGTGACTTGCATTAATAAACCGAAAAGTTGATTCAACAGAAGATAAAAAATTATTTTTCTTTATTTTTAAACGCATTTTAATGCAATGACTTACTTTTTTTACGGCTTTGAATCTTCAACGATGTGAATTATGTCGGAAGTTTTTAAAACATTCTCATGACATCTTTCAATGACATTTGGTTTGGTTTTCTTAAAATCGTTTAAGTGAAGACATAAAAGTTTTCGTTTTATATCGTTTATGTTTGAAACGTGTTTATGCGAACAATCTACAAAAAATAAATCATTCGATGTACGTAAGTAAATAATTTCTGAAGTGAGAGAGATGATGAAAATTAGCTGAATAAGAATCAATGTTTAGTTTCAAGTTAAGTGATCCAATCCCGTCAATTTCAATCTGTCAAAGTTTCATATTTCACGGTGGCGAAAGCGTGAAAATTCAGTCGATTTTTTCTTAAAAACGTTTTCAACATAATTTGTCAATGACTACATCTTTTTACACACAAAGTTCCATTCAGTCTTCTTAAAATAAAAAATCTTTAGGCAGCTGTTTAAGTGTAGACAAAAGACAGTTAAAGTGACAACATAAGTTGATTTCTATATTTAAATTCAATTTAAACATAAGTCAGAGACCAATTCAAACAAAAGTGTGCTTGTAAAGAAATATTGACATTTGCCAATTGTCGCATGAATTTTTAATGACTAAGCAGTGCGAGTCTTGCGCAGCGCACCCAGGAAGTGAAATTTTAAAGAAGTTTTTTTTACGCAAAATTTTAACTTTCGCTGTTTAGCACATGTTGAAATATTTGTACAAAAAGTATTCCCACGTTTCGTTTGTCTATTGTTTGCATGATTCTCATTCCTGTTGGAATTGAAATTTGTTATTATTATTTTTACATGGAAACAAAAGTAAAATTGAGTGCGAGTAAGAAGAAAGAATTTCGCAAAGCCGCATTCCAATGATTTTCATTTTTCTTTATCTTATAATTTATTAAAATATTCTTCTTATTACTGTTGAATTCCTGTAAGGTCGGAAGAGAACAAAACTTGATCTCGTTAGGTACGTAATTGGTAATAAACTATGACGACGCCTGCGAAGTTTCGTCTTGAAAGAGTTTGTTGGGGGAATAAGAGAACGAACAGTAATCTCGTCTTAAGAAGAAAATATTTGATTTCATTTCATGTTTACATAATTGACAGGTCACAGACTTATTTTACGACTGTAATGTTTAAACATTACACATGAAGGCTTAGCGTAATCGTGAAATTGTTTTGTATTGAAGTTTCCAGTAACAACGACGACGAGTACGTAACTTTAATTAGTTATTGACTTCGTGTTTATATTTTGTTATCATGCTTGGCTGCGACGAATATTTAGTCGAGTTAGAGATAAGCTTAAAACATTTAAAAGCAGAGAAGATAAACAGATCACGAAATGATTCTCGAAACGACCTCGTCGACATAGCAAAGAATAAAAGTTTCGCAACCATCAGAAGTTGCAGCACACTTAACAACATTCATTAAACATTTTCTCTTGAAAAAATCGTGCGAATCATGAAAGAGTAAAGAGAAATAAATAAGGAACGGCTTCGGCACGCAGAAATTCCATTGTAAATATTTAAGGTCTTTTCCTTCCTTCAACTACATTTCGACGCTTTTTTTTTATATCAGCAATTCAATGAAACCGGTTTCGGTTGTTGTCTCTTTCGCTTACTGAAACAAGATCATTGCAAAAAGAGAAATGAAAATGACAGAAGTTAACGAAAATACTTCTTCTATTAGAGTGCCATCAAACTTAACAACATAAAAAAGCTTTAATCTCCTCTTCTCTGTTTCATCGTCATAAATATTTTTGTAGCCATTATCTGTTGCTTTTCGTTTTCCTTCCTTGTCCCTACGAAAACAAACTAAGATTCAGTGATGTTGATAAGCGAATGAAATGCTTTTTCCGCTGTTATTTACGAAAGCATGTGCAAGAAAAACGAATCGCTTCCATAATTAATGGACGTCAACAAGTTAACGACCTGAAAGTTTGCTGTAACAAATATTTTCAAATTTTGAAGTTGATTTTATAATTGACTGAAATGAAAAACTTTTGAAAGGTTAACAAAGCAAAATTATCGCAAACATTGTCGGACTTTGATGCGAAAATGTCGAATAATTCAATTTTAACGATGTTACTATGTCATCGTTTAATTTATTTACGAAGCAATGATGATTAATAAAAGAAGAAACTGGCAGATATCAAGCAAAGCTAATTTGACTGAGGTCAAATTAAAAGCGAATATTCTATTTTCAAGCTGAATGTTTAGATATCATATCATCATTAAGTTCTCATTTGAATAAACAAAAAGTAACATTCCAGTCGTGACCAAACATCAAGTCTGAATTCATTAGCTTACGAAAAAACACAATAAATACCTACGAAAAAATTAAATTAATATCGAGACTAATGTGGTGAGATTTCTGACTCTGATTATGTGCGAGTCATTAATAGACACGATGGCATTTGCTGGCATTTTAACGCGTTTTAAATGGATCAGTTGGAAAGCTTTTCAATTGAGTTGATATCTGGAAATGCGTTGGATTTAATTAAGACGTAGCTTTAAAAGCCATTAACGGAATTCAATTTGCTTTAAAATGTGTAACTATTTATGTGTGTAAGAGAGTAGCGTGACTGGGTGATTTGCTAGAAGAACTTTTATTGGGATTCATTCATAGGTGAGACATGCATGCGGTCAGTAATGCATTTCCATTCAAACAACACCTTTTTCCGGTAAAACTTTCATTCAACTTACAATTAGTTGTCTCACTTAAGTAAAACTTAAACAATTTATGATAAGAAGTCGAGAGAGTCACTCAAGCGTAGTCTTTGAATGAATGAATGATTGACAATGCTTGACTTTTCTTCTTTTCAACCTGTCTTTGTTAGTCTTCCGAGAAGTTTATTATTGGAACGATCTCAAGCAAAGTTGAAGCACGTAATTATTTTATGCGGTCGCAAAATGAAACTTTAATCCACTCATGTGACTTCCTTAGGCTTGAGAAAATTGCCATTGCGTGATCAATGTTTTTGCTTCATCTACAATTGAAATGAAATCAAATCTAAGATTATTAAACATGCTTCAAGGTATTTGACACTTGAAACTCTAAAGACATAAGCAAAGTTTAAAAGTCAAACAAAATTAACAAGAATTTCGCTTCAAGTGCTTAAATTATTTACAACGACACTCGTTTCGATATAATTTTTATTATTTTCACAAAAAAAGTTTTCTCTTCCGCTTTCTACAAAGCAAATTAACGTCATGCAATTTTTGCTTCTCGTCGGTGTTTATCACATTTTCGCTATGAGACAACAAAAATTGCTTTTTCGTTTGTTTTCTTCTTCTGATTGGAAATGAAAACGAAATGGAAATGTTGAAAAAAAGGCAATTAGCTTTGTTTTCTGTTGTTTTCTCCACGCTCTCCAAAGCTCAGATTACGTAAAAAGGTTTTTCGTGTGCAGAAACAAACAAGAGAGTTTTCACGCACATTTAAACATTTCCATGGATGAAACGCTATTGTCATTGTTACTGCTACTCTACTTCTATCTCCATTGCTTGTTCCTATTCATCTTTTGATAATTACAAGTCGAGTTCTAAAAATATCGCGCATAAAGTTTTGTTAGAAATAAAATGTGGAAGTGAAATGGAAATTATGCTAAGTGTTAATGACCTTAACGAGCACGACTTAAAATTTGCATTTCGAATGATGTTTTCAACAGTGTCTAATGGAATTAGTTGATTATAACTTTGACTTCCGAGTCGAATGACGGGTCCCGATGATGAACAAAACAACAAAAATTAAAAAGTTTTCTCGTTTCTGTCTGTGATTCAACAGGAAATTAATTTTTGTGTGTTTTACTCTCATTCGAATCGGCCCAAACACGTCGCTTCAGTGGGAAAACATTCGGTTTCCCAATAGTCTGAGGTGTTAACTAATTTATCGTGCTTCCAATGAAAGCAAACCCTGGTCAACGCTCCCATTGCACTAATTTAAGTGAAAACACTTGGAAAAGGGTCAAAAAATATTTTGTCGAGTAAATCACAAGCTAAGTAGTAAAATGAATCGTGACCGACTACCATTTGGGAATTCTTCTGACGACTTAAATTCAATCTACGACATGAAATGTTTATTAAACGATCCAAGTGGATGTATGAGATTTTCGAAATTCTTTCTCGATTAAGCGTTAAAACGATTGAGATTAATGTGAATGTATTTTATCTGTCAAGGTTTCAGACAGAATACTTTGATACAAAGAAATCAATTGTCATCGAAATCAATGATCAAACAGTCGTTTCTGAATGCCATGTCGAAATTAATTAATGTTACTTCATTTCATTGTTTGCATTCTAAACAATCAAAAAATATTTTTTCATGACATGAACATACAAAACTTTAACAATAATTTCATAGAAACATCAATTATAATGCTGATTAAGTAAACATAGCAATAAGGAATCGATGTTATGACGTTTATTGAAGTTTCGTTAGTTGAAAGTGGCTGATCGATATTTTGCAGTAAAAACTATTCATCAAAAAAAAGTTTCGAACAATGTTGTTACCGAAATTTATTAAAAAAGTTGATCCGCAAAAACTTTCTTGGTTTGTGACTTTTTGGCAGACGATGACTTTTCAATTTCGTTATAAAAGTTGCGAAAAAATTCGTGTCGTGTGGTGTTTTCCAAAATAGTTTATTGTGATTATTCGACTTTGCTTCGAAAGGAGATTACAGACGATTTATCAAATAGTGTAGAAAACGCCATCATTGCGAAATATTGGATCGAGTTGACACTCTGGTGGAGCGAAAAAATGTTGTTTAATGTGTTGCGTTTAGTTTCGTGTAACGATTATCTAGGTCAATGAACTTTACAACAAAAAAGATAAAAAATTTAATCAATTTCTTTTCAGTTCAACGGCAGTTTTTGTTTAGATTTTCGGAAAGTGTTTGACTATTTAATGGTTTATGTTTCAGCATGTCTTAAATGGTTTTTTGTAATTGAAACATTCACTTATCTGATGTTCAAAAGTAATTACGTGAAGGAAATCAAAAAACTTTCATCTAACCATTGGTGTGTCAAAACAAAATTAATTAAGATTATAATCATAAATTCAAGAAAGTTCAATTAATGTTGAAATATTGAACATATGATTTGATGATTTCTCTACTCTCAGCGGCTTAAATCAATCCCATACGCCAAAAATTGAAGCACAATTGCTGATTATTTCAATTGAACTTAATGATTCATTAACTCAATTTCGAACACAATTTCGTTTAATAATCTGTGTGCCGGTTTTTCGTTTCGTTGTTCATTTCATAAAAAAATATATGCGAGTCATGTACAGAGACTTTCAATATTATTGCCAATTGTCGCAACGACGTTGTTCGATGTGTTTGATTACAATTCGAATTGTATTTGGGAAAATTCATTATTTTGGTCCCCATGTGCATTTCTTTTCCATTTCTGTGTCAGTTCTCATGCTTTCATAATGTAAATCATGTTTGTAGTTATTTATAAACCATGCAAAGAACAAAGGGAGTTCAGTTTCATAAAACTGAATGATTTTCTCACAATAATTTAACTGAATGAATCAATAATTTAATCCCACAGAGTGAAACATAAATTATGCTGATTTTGGAGCATTAATTTAATGTCTTTGTTGTCACTTGCATGAATGGACATGAAGGAATCAGGAAAACAAACTTGCTAGATGACATTTGACCAATCCCTTAAAATCGGAAGACTTTTATAAATGTTTACTGTTGCTTTGAAGAGTCAGCAAGTTCTGCTCAAGTTGTTTCAAATAAAACGAAAACCTTTATCACTGTAGTTTATGCGCGTACATTAATTCATGACAATAGAACATTCGCGTTGAATGTAAATCACAAATTTGTTTCCACGACGCGTGAAAGTTTTCAGTAAAATGCTAAGCAATATTTAAAGCGTCGCGACGACGTCAAGTGATTCACAGGAAATCAATAAACCACAGTATGCGGCACGATCGAAGCAATGTGCTAGCTACAAGGTGTCGAAAACGAATTCAAAGGTCAAACGTTGTGAGAAAATAAAGTGAATGCTGTTAGAGACAGTTTTACGACTTTTTTGTGAAATATTAGATGCTTTTATTTCTTCTGTTGCGATGTCAGCGAAAAGGAGAAAAATTGGAGACAAACTTGCGTAACAAAGCAAAAATGAACATAAAACCCGACTTACACTTTCAGCTCGTTATCAAATTGAACATTATGGTTTAATGTGTGACGTAAATCTTTATTTAATATAATTCTATGAAGGTCTTTTTAAGAATCTCTTGACATTGTCTTCTGTTATGTTCCTTTGTTTCATCAACTCTTCCATGAAAAGTGCAAATGGTTGATGACTGCACTGACAAATGAATGAGAAATATTTTAACAACACAATGAATTTAATCGGAAACAATGACGGAAGATTTGAACGATTTCAACATAGATCAACAATGATTTTTTATAACTTACCACGACTGAATAATTCTTAGAAGATAAACTTCAAGCTTAATAATCTGCAAATCTGTTTCGCTTCTTCCATGTCTCACAACAATCAATCATAGAATTGAAATGAATTGTGAACTGTGCTTAAATTCTTCGCTCATTTTCCAAGAAATTCTTTTCTGTTGAAGTGCTTTTGACACAAAAGTAAGAAACAAAAGAAAAGCTTTTGAGTGGAAAACAATAGAAAATGTAGAGAGAATTTTTCAGCGACAATTTATCAAATCTATTCAACTTCAGTCATCGCATATTTCATCATTTGCTTGTTCTCGCTTTCATCTTTGTGTAATAAAGAACGCTATCTGAAAAGAATCAAAAACTTCTCCATAATGCGACATGTGATATATTTACAACGTCATATCGTCAAATCAAAATGGTTAAAAAATTCATTTTTTTCTTCTTATGTCATCAATTTACAGATGGAAATTCGAGAAACATATTTCCATGTCACTTAAGAGATAATGCAATTTATTATAACACGCAAGCAATCATAGACACATCGATTGCATAAACGACTTTTTCCCCCTCATATGAAACTGCTTATGTTCGCTAATCAATTTTTATTAAAATAAAAATGGGGCAGAAAATTTCGCTTCAAGGTTGAACTCAAAATGGGAGATGAGCGTAAGCCAAATATTTGCAGAGAATGTTTTCAAGGGCCATTGCTTTAAGGCTCAGGGCTTTCACAGAGTCTTGGAGACGCTCTGAATTACGTCAATTACAGAAACATCATTTTAGAGGGAATATTGCGTGGTCACCCAAGCGAGAAATTGCTTATAAATCTTCATTTCACAAATTTATTACAGTAACATGTCGTTAGATTACAATTAGAAAGTAGAAGTTATGATTACAAACAAAAATCGATGTTGATACATATTTTTATATCATTCTACATAAAGTAAACAAATTTGTGATGGAAAAGAAATTTCCTTAAGAAAACATTTTCCATCAAACGTTAATGATTATTTTATGAATAGAAAGAGTGTGATGAAAAGCGTTCTTCACACGTCATTGATGCTGGTCGACATTGCGTTGCGTGCAGTAAAGCGTAAAATTTATCAATTAAAGTCTTTGATGGTGGAATTATGGAGAAGAAGCAACACGACGAAACAAACGACCAATAGTCACCCAAATGACATTGAAAATTAATGTTGATGATACGAATTAAACGAACAACACAACCGACATCATTTCAATTGTGAATTAATGTTACAACTTTATGACTTTACTTTGTTCTTTCAGTTTAAAAAAATAAAAGTCCGGATGGTGACGATTAGATCACTGATTTTATTTACTTACATCGTCTTTCCGTTTTCTGTAACTTTATGTTCTTTCAATCTTTACATTTCATCTTCAATTACGTTTATTGAATTTCCCCAACATATCTACTTAGATGCTTAACGAGATTTTTATTTTATTTTATGCATTTCCAAATGTAAAGCCGAGCTCATAAATCTCAAATGACTCTATCTATCTACAGTAATAATCAAATAAGAGATATCTTAATCAGTTTTACTATGTACGACATAAAGATAATTGAATTAAAAACGAATAAATTAATGCTGTAATTGAGATAGAAATCTGAACAGATTTAACATTGGCTTAACATTAATCCAACTGTTAAATAATTATTCTTATCGATTTCTGTCTTCCTTTCGATAAGAAGGCAAGACAATTTGAGATAATAATTTGAACTTTTTGAACTTGAATGAAAACTTTCTGTTTGTATGAATCATGAATTGTTTCATGTTGCACAATCTCACGACACCTTGAATGCTGATAAAGTTTATAAAGTCACAAAAACAAGGAAAATCCTATTAGTTACGAACAAAGCACGTTTCATTCTTCAATGTTTCTTTTGTTCATCGAAGCTACATAATTGTATCTAATGATGTCATTAGCATTTATTTCCGTAACCTGTCATTACCATTGTTAAGAAAAATAATTTTCTTTCGCTTATTTACTTATCAAGACAACAAATTCAAAAGGTTTTTGGTTTCTAAAGTAAAATGATGTTTCATTTCGCTCTTTAATAAAAGTCTTGTCCTTCTCGAGTGTGCTTCAGATGATGTTTTTCCCACCTTCAAATCCTTCCCTCACTTACCTACTCACTTAAGCATTCAGAATGACTCTGAATGGATAAAGAAATGTGATATATCTTGTTAAGCCGTTTTTTATGGGTGATAACAACATAGCAAAGGTTTGAAGGGGAAATTCTCCGTAAAATTCTGTCACGTTCCAACGACAAAGAAATTCTTGGCGTTTTGAATTTTTCTTCCAATTTAAATTCATTTTGTTGCTTATTAAACGAACTTCCACTTTCACACGATTAATTTTGATGTCTATGAAGCTAATATCCAAATGACCATAATAGGATTAGCCTTCTTCAAAGAACTCTCTTATAAACCGAAGTACCGAAAACCATCTTCATCGTAATCCGCTTTCGAACCCTCGTTTTGCGGAAGTATCTCTTGGTATGAAAGAATCGCGATAAATTATTTTTAGTTCTTTCAACATCGCCATAATGAACTGCCACCAAACCGCAAGGGATTTGACAAGACTCTCGGAATTTTTTCGCTTAGATGGTTCAATTAACGCATGAAAAAATTTCATTTCCATTAAGAAGTCAACGTTGGTTGTAGTAACGATCAGTTGATATTTACATTAATGCACCTTTGAAGATTTATTGTTGTTGTGTCTGAAAGTGACAAGAATCTTATAAAAATAGATACTTTGAAGATGAACCCTTTCGTGTTCCCGAAGATCGTAAATTTCTGTTTTTCCATGGAAGAAAATTTCAATCTTATTTTATCTCTGTCAGGTTTAAAGCTTTGGAAGAATTTATCTTTCTTGTTGACTCGAAGAGAAAGAAACTTCTTGTCTCAGTTGCACTTGTGCACGTTTCAAATAAATTACTTTCGATATGTTTCTCTGTACGATATCAGAACCTTTTTCTTATGATGAAATTGAAGACTTCATGCATGATTTATGGATGGGCTTTAATACCTTCAACGACGGAGGTTATCACAAGTCACCCATGTGTTCAACTTTCCGCCTGTAAAGCTTTTTGATGAAAGTAGAATGAGAAAAGATGCCTCAAAATACCTGAAAATCACTCAAGAAAATTAATAAAAAGTTTTCACTCGTGTCACATAATTTTCCTCGCAAATATATTGAATTTGAATTGAAAATTGAAAACATTTTATTTGAATAAATATGGGATCAACATTAAGTGAGAAACATTGACCTATAAAATTGAATTTATTGGAAATCCTTTTAATAAATTTCGCACACGAAAAAAATTAAATTGAATCAATTTTTCCATTAATTTCCCACTCAATAAACATCGGAAAACATGTTTTCCATTAAATTTTTAACAAAATATTGTTCTTTTAAACAAATTTTTTTTTGAAAATCATAAATCAATCACTTCAAGCAATAATAACTTTTCACTGAAAACATTAACCAAAAAATGTCTGATTAAAAATGCGACGTTGCCAGATTTTCTTCTATGGCGTTGTTTTGTTGATGTTTCTTCCTGAAATGAAAAACAGGAAGTAGAAAGAAAAGTGCTCGTCGTGGCAAAGCTTTAAGTGATTTGCATGAATTAATATTATTCTACGAAAAGCAGATTATATAAACAAATTTTGTATCAAATGATTCACAAGTTCAAATGAAAATTAATGAAACAAAATTAATATGCGGACGCTGAATGAGTAAAGTTCGGCTTCTGAGAAACCGTTCGAAATATGTTTTTGTTTTCTTGTTTGTTACTTCAATTCTTTAAACTACATATCGTGTCTGATATGCATATGTTGAAAAGTTCTGTTTCCAAGTACAAACATATATTTAGTTAGCAATTCAGATTATGATAAATATTTGGACGTTTTTATTTTAAATTTAAATTTCTCTGAAAGATGAAAGCTGTTTACTCATTAAAATGCAATTATCTATCAAACGAAGTAAAATAAACGGAAGCAACTAATTATGATCGTTGTTAATCTTCCAATAATTTTCGAAAAAAAATGTTTATTCAAATCTCGATTATCTGCTAATTCATCATCAAATTCAAATCCATTCACACACTTTCAAAATTCAAAATTTGATATTTTGTTTATCTTCAATTTACATGAAATAATTTGATTCAATCGTGACCTACAAACGCATGATAAGAAACTTCTTTTTGCTGTTATCATAAAGCTAAACAATATGAAGACGTGGGTAAATAAATATTTATTAGAATCCCAAAAATTCTTTTGTCATAATTAAATCATCAGAGATCCCTCAAACTTTGTTCAAATATTTGTTATCTTTCTCTCCACTCAGTCAACTCATCACATTCAACATGATTTCAGAATTTTTCTTCTTATGCATGTATATGCCCTAAAACTTATTAATAATCATTAACGCAGAGGGTGTGAATAAGAATTCTTTGTTGTAAATATTCCATTTCAAGTTAAAACGAGTGAACGAAAGTTACAAAAATAATTTGAAAAGGAAATTGTGATTATTTATTGTCTCGAAATTCAATTTATTTAGTTTTGTTTTCTTCAATGAGTTCGATTATTTGTTAGGTCATTAATATTAATCGTCTTTTCTCTCACTCACTTAACGATTTTTAAACATTACAAAACTTTTAAATCTTTCCCATTCTATAATAAGAAACGAATTGAATCTTTCATGAATGAAAAGAAAGCAAGAAAAGCATTTTCGTAGAAACTGAACGTATTATGAGATCAGCTGACTTTAATAGGAAAATTATTGATTACTTCCTTTATAAAATCACTTTAGAATGCTCTCAAATTAATCATGTTCTTTCATTTCATTTTATGTTTCTCTTTACAGAAGCACTTTTACAATCAAGGCCGTTGCCGCATGTACCAAAGGGAACTCTGGCTCCGACGGTCGATTTATTGTGCCAACCGGAAACTTCTGAACACAGTGGAACTTTATTATCGCAGGGAAGCAACAGTAGCAATCAACAACAGACAAGCTTCGAGACAGCAAACCGTTGGACATCCAAAGAGAATTTATTGACACCAGCACCTGAAGATGACGACCCGCAATTATTTGTCGCACTTTATGACTTCAAAGCTGGCGGCGAAAATCAACTAAGTCTCAGAAAAGGCGAGCAAGTCAGAATCTTATCGTACAACAAGTCAGGCGAATGGTGTGAAGCGCATTCCGATTCAGGTCATGTCGGTTGGGTGCCATCGAACTATGTCACTCCATTGAACTCCCTTGAAAAGCATTCGTGGTATCATGGACCAATCTCAAGAAATGCTGCTGAATATCTTCTCAGTTCAGGAATCAACGGCAGCTTCTTAGTTCGTGAAAGTGAAAGTTCACCAGGTCAACGTAGCATCAGCTTACGTTATGACGGTCGCGTTTATCATTATCGCATTCAAGAAGATACTGAGGGAAAAGTTTACGTGACAGCTGAATATAAATTCAACACTCTTGCCGAGCTCGTACATCATCATAGTGTTCTTCATGAAGGACATGGACTGATTACACCGCTGCTGTATCCAGCACCGAAACAAAACAAACCAACTGTGTTCCCTTTGAGTCCCGTAAGGAATTTTCCTTCTTTCTTTTTAATTACGATTTTATCCACGTTCTTATTCTAGGAACCTGATGAATGGGAAATTAGTCGAACTGATATTGTGATGAAACATAAACTTGGAGGTGGTCAATATGGCGAAGTTTACGAAGCAATTTGGAAACGATATGGAAACACTGTCGCTGTGAAGACTTTGAAAGAAGATACGATGGCATTAAAAGATTTCCTTGAAGAAGCTGCAATTATGAAAGAAATGAAGCATCCAAATCTTGTGCAATTGATTGGTGTTTGTACACGTGAACCTCCGTTCTATATCATTACAGAATTTATGAGTCATGGAAACCTTCTCGATTTTCTACGTGCTGCTGGTCGTGAGACTCTTGACGCTGTTGCTCTTCTCTACATGGCAACACAAATTGCATCGGGCATGAGTTATCTTGAGAATCGAAATTTTATTCATCGTGACTTGGCGGCAAGAAATTGCCTTGTCGGTGATAATAATCTTGTAAAAGTTGCTGACTTTGGACTTGCTCGATTAATGCGCGATGATACGTACACAGGTTTGTAAATTTTTTTTTTATTATTTCTTATTAGTGGTTATAAAAATTTAATTATTTATCATCAGCTCATGCTGGAGCGAAGTTTCCAATCAAATGGACAGCACCAGAAGGTCTCGCTTACAATAAGTTCAGCACAAAGTCTGATGTCTGGGCGTTTGGTGTTTTATTGTGGGAAATTGCAACGTATGGAATGTCACCTTATCCTGGTATTGAACTGACCGACGTTTTCCATCGTCTTGAATCGGGTTATCGTATGGAGCGTCCACCTGGTTGTCCACATGAAGTTTATGATCTGATGAGAAAATGTTGGCAATGGAGTGCTTCAGATCGACCGACATTTAAATGCATTCATCATGATTTGGAACATATGTTTCAGGTAATTAACATTTGATTGTATTCCACATGATTATTCGAATTTACTTATTTATTTTATTGTAGGAATCATCAATTATCGAAGCGGTCGAAAAGCAACTCCAAGGGCAGTCAAGTGCTTCGTCACAACCCAGTTTAACTCCTCAAATGGGGAAAAAGCCACAAATGGGCACACATATTGCTCAACAGCACCAACAACAACAGCATCAACAACAACAGCATCAACAACAAATGGAACAACAAGCGATTACTCCGTTGTCTGGTGAGTTCTTCGATAGTAATTTTCAAACTTGTTTTTTAATTTTCTGTTTTACGATCTCGCTTAAGTAGATTCGTCGTCAAAACTCAGCACATTCTCTTCAACTGGAAAGTCGGGATCTGTTGTGCAAATGAGAAGAACAACGAATAAAAGAGGAAAAACAGCTCCAGCTCCACCAAAACGAACTAGGTGAGAAATTTATTAACAAGGTAATCGAAAGGTTTTTATTTAATTTTTTTTAATATATTTTCAGTCTTCTCTCATCAAGCCGCGACTCAACATATCGCGATGATGATCCGCGTAACATTGAGGAGCTTAACGGTATGGGTAAAATTGCTAAATCATCTTCTTGCAGTAGCTTCCTTATCGATATTCTTTTTCGAGGTATTTTTATTCGGTTTTTATTGAATGTCCTGCAGCGTGTGTTGATTTCTATTCGATAGAAATTTCTCCATAAAATAACATGCACGTCCAACTCCACGACCACGTCCAACAACTGACACAAATGTTTAAAATAATTTGTTTTTTACTTTAATTTAATTAACTAATATCAACGAGTGTTATTTTCTAAACGTTTCTATTAACCGATTTTAAAAATACCTTTGAAGCATAAGCACAAAGCGACATGTGTTGTTGCATTAGAATGTTGCATCAACATGGTATGTGACATGACCACTGCAACAGTTTTGTGTGATCATCACACATCAATGAAGCAACATCAACATGTGGCTTTGTATTTAACTAACAAATGAATTTCAAAAGAATTTTTAATCATTTCAATTCAAATGAATAAAAAAAATTCTTTTAATTTTTTTAGGATTTTCTCGTGAAATTGCGAATCTTGCATCACGGGCTGATTCTGAGAATGAGAATCAAGAAGTGACACCTGACACTGATGACAGTCAAGAACATTTGACATCAAAGCATTCAATGATGCCACCTCAAGCTCCTCAGAATTCATTTAAACGAGCACCAGTAATGGGTAATCGTGGATTGGAAACAAGAAATAGCAAAAGATCAGCACAAAGAAAGACGCCACTTGCTCCAATTAACCATTCATCATCGTCATCACCACCGATTCCATCGCAACCAGTTGTTGGTGCACTTGAAGTTCAGAATGTTAAAAGAGCGATCAATCGTTATGGAACTTTACCGAAAGGAGCTCGAATTGGCGCATATCTTGAGTCATTACGACAAAATGGAGAAAGTGGTTCACCACCAAACACTTCGCCACTCGCCCAAGTTCAACAACAATCGAATGGAAATGGAATTCATTTACCTACACCCGAAGTTCCTTCCAATCAACATTCACCAAGAACACCTTTAAAGGTTCAACCACAAATGATTCGAAGTAATTCGTCAGGTGGCGTCACAATGACAAATTCAGCAACTGCGAGTCTCACAAAACTTCAACGTCATCGAACAACAACTGACGGTTCTATGATGACAACATTCTCAAGTTTTCGTAGTGCTGGAAGCAACAACAGTCCAAAACGTGCAGCACAAGCACCAGCATTAGCTGATCTCGAATTTCCACCACCACCTTTAGATCTTCCGCCGCCACCAGAAGAATTTGAAGGAAATAACAACGCCAGTAACAACAACAATCATCAGTTCCATCATGACATTCCACCGAAACATGTTCAAATAAATAATGACGTGTCGAATACGGCACCGAGTGTTGAAGAGGCTAGCACGAGATTTGGTGTGAGTTTAAGAAAGCGTGAACCATCAACAGATTCATGCAGTTCTTTAGGAAGTCCTGGAAATGATCTTGTCGAGTCATCAAACAATAAATCGCCATACAGTGACGTGCCAATCAGTGAAATGACGGAATGTTCAATGATAAAACCTGAAAAGCCAATGAAACCCAACACACCAAAGCCAAACATTCCCGTTGCTGCTGCTCCATCAGATGCAAATGGAATTCAACCATTTAAAGCACAATTGAAGAGAGTCGAACCGAAGAAAGTTAATAAAGAACCACCAAAAGACGAAATCACCACAAGTATTATCGATTTTAAATCGCGATTACGTAAAGTTGATGATGGAGGAAACGATGAGATTAACAACAAAACTAACATTAAAAGTGATAACAAAATAACTTCAACAACAACGATAAGCGATGTTAAACCAAATAACAATAACACGACAATGAACGGTAGTAAAAAGACTGAAATTAAAATCGACATTGTTGATGATACAAAGAAAAAGACGAAAGAATCGTCGAATGAGAATAAAAGTGTAAGTGGTGGAGGTGAAAATACTTTAATTACTGAAGATGACAAGAGAAAGAGTACGGGAAGTATAAGTAGTTTGAAGAAGCTATGGGAGGCGAAAGAACATGCACCAACAGCAGATCAAGTTGGTCAGTTGAGTCCAAAGATGGGAATGAAGAAGAAAGATGAACACGATGACAACCACAATAATAATAACAATAATAATATTAACAACAGTAACAACACTTCACCAAGCAATGGACACCATGAGAATTCAAGCATGGAACCGCCTGTGGCTAAGAAGCCTGCTGTACCAGTAAAGCCATCAAAGTTCACCATTTATGCAACACCAATTCAACAACAAACTCCAAAAGTTATTGAAAACAACAATCATGCGACGACAACAAATTCAGCCGTTCCAGGAAGTCGCGAGAATATTCTTGAGATGGTTCAGTTGGTTGAATGTAATTTAAAGATTCCTGTTAATTTAATAACAGCAACTCAATGGCTTCAATTGAGTGATAAGTTGAATGTTATTCAAACGTCGTGTGTCACTTATGCTGACAATGAATCGATGCCACTTCACTCAAAGTTTCAGTTTCGTGAACTTGTGACAAGAGTCGAGAACCAATCGAATTGTTTAAGATCGGCTGGACAGAAAAACGTTCAAGATAATGAGAAACTTCTAGTCGAAGTTGGCCAATCATTGAAACAGTTGTCGAATGCACTTCATAGGTAAGATCGCGGATAGCCGCGGAACTCAAACGATTCTTCTCTATGGCTATTTGATATGGTTCACAATATTCAAATCTATTTTTCTACATTTAACCTTTACCAACAACTTATCTATCTTTAAATGAATCTACACAACAGCATAATTAATATTAAAAAGATATTTCTAGTGATCGTCTTATTAAAATTAATCAATCAAAAAGAAACATTCATTGGATCAAAAACAATTTCTCAATAACAAAAAACAATTTATCTCTTGATGTTAAGAATTATTAAGGAAAGAAAAAGAAAACTTAGTTAGAGTAATTATTTTAATTTCATTCAATGACATTCAGAATAGAATTTCAAACATAAAAATTGAACAAAACTTTTAAATTAAAATAGTTACTCTAATAATTTTAAATATCTAAAGCTTTGATGTTGTTTTTCCCCTTTTGACTTTAATATTTTTTACTGTTTTAACGCCTGCCATAAACACTTCATTGAATTTGTTGAGCGAATGACTTCTTCCTTTTAAAATTTCGTTGTAAACTTCAAACGCCCATAAATTGGACAAATTTTCCTTTTTTTACTTGTAAAGCTTTTAATCAGATTTGTGATGCTTTTGATGTGCGAACATGTCAACAAATGAGGGAAATAAAATCTTTCATGCTTTATGATGGAGCTTTCAAACATCAAAGCTTCCATCAGTCTGATTATTCGCTTTAAGATATACAAAAATAAAACATTTTAATCCCAATTAAATTGATGTGTAGCTGATGATAATTAAAATGCTTATGAAACATTAAAATGTGTGTAACGTATGATAAATAAAATTTCACAATCAAATTCCTTAAATATTTATTCCATTAATAAATGCTCAACAATCGTGACAGCTTATGACGAAATAATTAACAACTCAACTCTGCACTTTTTTTCGATTTCGTTTTCATCATTTAACAAATTATTTTTCGCGTTCTTGTCGTTAATTTCTCATGCAAATAATATCTTTTGTTCTTAAAGACAGTGAATAAACATGACAATGGTGTTGAAACCAATACAATAAATACACAAAAGTCACAGTTATTACGACCCTCTAAATTAAATTTTCTTCCATTCAAAACTCTTTTCAAAAAATTGATTTGTGTGATTGGAAAATATTTACAATTATTTATCATCTCGTGCAAACAATTAGCATAAGTTGAGTTGAGCAAATAAAAATGAAGAAACTTCGGACTTCTTCGAAAAGCAAAGAAGATGAATAAATTTAAATTTAACATTTTAAGATGCTAGTCGATATGAAAATTATCAAATGAAAAATAAATAAATTCAAATTCAACAATCATATGTAATTAAACACAAAAAATAATTTCTTCTGTTTATAATCACGAAATAAGTTTGTAATTTTAAGATGTTTCATATCCAGACATTCGATAAGATTGTAGAAATGATTCTTTCGTGATTAAGAAAGGATTGTGGTTCTTAGTCTTCATCTCTTTGTAACTAAATAATTGTAACTTTAACTTTAACTTTAATTCGTTCTTAAGAAAGACGATTCTTTCCATGTCTTAATTCATCATAATCAGGCACTGGAATTTAGTACTCGAACTTTTATTTTTCATAAGTAAAATTTAATTGTAATGAAAATTGATTTCATCCAGTTCCTGATTTCAATCAAATTCCATTACATCCAATAACACTAACTTGAATCCTTGCGGTTTTCCTATCACATCTTTTTTGTTTTATTCTTCTCAATTGCAAAACTGATGCATACTTACTCCCAAAGATATTTTATAATTTTACTTTATAAATTAAAGAACGATATGAATGAGAACTGCAACGATGACATTTTATTGAACTGCTGAACTATTTAAATAGAATATGATAAGAAAATTAAAGTCTCTTTGGATTGCGCTTTGTTTTTAAGCGTAAACATTATGTCTTAGAATTTAAGAAGTAAATAAGCAAGAAATTGAATGATAAAAAAATATTTAATCAAACCCTTATTATGATTATGGAAAATGCTGAAAAACATAAAATACAAGGAAAATCTTCATAAAAAAAAATCACAAAAAACGTGAGAAAATAAAAAATTGAAAAATTTGAAATTGTTTTGTGCGTTTATTACGAAAATTTATTAAGTACAAAAATTTATTTGTTTTTTATGTTTCATTCGAGAAGAGACGACAATTTAAGAGCACTTTGAAGGTTCAGACTTGGAATCAATCGAAGATGCTGCAGGTTTGATATCGCCACTTTGATGGACGAAAGGTGGACTGTTAGAAGATTAAATTTCAGACAAAAGTTTAAAAATAAAATATATGAAAATTTACTCAATTCTAGCAGGTTGACTTCCAGGTTTTTTTATAATCTGATCAATTGGAACGGGATGAACAAAACTTGGGCCTTCTATGTCTAATGAAGTTTTAACAGGTGTTTCTGCTTTAGCTGGTGTTGGTTCTGCTTTGACTGGTGCTTTTTCTGGTTCTTTGGCTGCAACTGCAGGTGTTGGAGCAGCTTCCTTAACATCAGCTGCTTTGTGTGCTTCACGAGTCACTTTCGAAGTCTTAGCAGGTGCATCAGTTTTAGCTGGTGATAGTTCTGCTTTGACTGGTGCTTTTTCTGGTTCTTTGGCTGCAACTGCAGGTGTTGGAGCAGCTTCTTTAACATCAGCTGCTTTGTGTGCTTCACGAGTCACTTTCAAAGTCTTAGCAGGTGCATCAGTTTTAACTGGTGATGGTTCTGCTTTGACTGGTGCTTTTTCTGGTTCTTTGGCTGCTACTGCAGGTGTTGGAGCTGGTTCCTTAGCATCAGCTGCTTTAG